GGACCTCCTTGAGTTTGATTAATTTGCTAGAGTGGCTCATAGAAGTCAGGAAAATGTTTCATAGGGAACAGATTACTGTTCCCTATAAGTGGATATAACTCAGAAATAACCAAATAGAAGAGATTCATAGGGCAAGGAGTGTGGGCAGAGGTGTGTAGCTTTATTGCCCTCTCTGGGTGTGCTGTTCTCCCAGCACCTCCATGTGTTCATCAACTTGGGAGCTTTTCAAACCTTTCTTTTTGGGTTTTCTTTTTTTAAAAGGTTTCATTACATAGGCATGATTCACTAAATCATTGGCTGCTGGTGATTAGTTCAACTTGTAGCTCCTCTCCCCTCTTGAAGGTTGGGGATGGGACTGAAAGCTTTAACTTTCTCATTTTGATTGGTTTCCCTGACAACCAGTCTCCATCCTTAGGGGGACCCTAAAAGTCACCTCATTAATGTAAGCTTAGGTGTGGTTGATTGAAAGAAGCGATTGTGAAGAAGAGAAGACCCCTATTTCCTCTTTATCACTTGAACTACTTTAGAAATTTAAAACATGACTAAATGTTTATAATAAAAGATGCCCCTATAGGTTCTCTTGGGAAATTATAAAGGTTGTTGGACCTCTTTGTACCAGGGGAATTGTAGATGAAGACCAAATATATTTTCTTACTATAAATTACAATATCACGTGTAGTGATACTTAGTGAAAAGTTTTAATGTTCTGTGAAAACAGGTGTGAGTTCAAATGCCAGCCGTTTCAACAACTAGGTATATAACCTTAAACAAGTTTTGTTTTCTGTTTATATAAGAAATATAAGAGCATTCTTTTTACAATGGATTAAGCTATATAGAAGTGTGTAAAGTCTGCAAGTCCTCCTCTACCATTTTCCTTCAACTGAAAAGTAGAAAATTCCTTTCTTTTACAGAGGTGCTATCTCATTGTTTAGCTTTCTAGTTCTTCTATGTGTTTATGAAAATATTTGAACATAAATGCAATAAAATTTTAGAACATAAATGAAATTGTGCTACACTTACACGTGTCTTGAAGTGGCCACATAAGATCTTGTAGTCTCAATGATCTACAGTTAATTGATTGCAGATTGCTGAACACTGATTTTTTTCTCCTAATTTATGCTATTATGAATATTGCTGCAGTTGACATTCTTACACATTTATGTTTGCAGCTACGTGTGTGGATATTTTCTATATTTCATAAGATAGATGACCCAAATTGCTTTGTGAAAGGGTGTATACATTTTAAAATTTGCAAGTATTTTACGATATTGCCTTTGAAATTCCTGGATTTGATTTGCTGATGTTTTATTTCGCAGTTTTACATCTTTGATCGTAATTGGCAAAGGGCCCATCATGGATTCCTGCACACACACAGTGGGTTGCGATATAGGAAATGAACTCTAAGCTTAGGGAATTGACTTTTTGTGGGAAGCTGAAATGGGCTTGCTTTTTTTTCCCACCGGGAGACCCTGCCCCATCCCTTAGAGATGTGTGCTGTGAACACAGTCCTGAGAAGTGGTCTGGGTACAGAGTCACTAGGGCCTGGCCGTATTGGCACACCCTGCAGATGCATGCAGGACACTCAGAACCCCTGGCAGCTCATCCCACCCCCCACCCCCCACCCCCTGCTCCATCAGTGCTTCTTCTCTAGGTGTCTTCAGTGGTGAGTGGTGTAAGCCGAAAGCACGTGACTCATCCTTGTCACTGCCGCCTTCTCATATTCACTCTTATCACCACATTCTATAAATTTTATCTCCTAAATATTTTTCCAAAGACTTCTTTTTTTCCCTCCTACCTCCTCCCCAGTCTGTTATCTTCTTCTTACACTCCTACTCTGGCCTCTTAATAACAGTTGCCTTCTTCCAATCTATTTTCTCTCGCTCCAGTCAAGACTGATCTTGTAAAACACGGATATAGTCAGGCCATCTGACTTACATAAAACATTTTATTGGTTTGAGGAACAGCAAGGAGGTCCAGTGGCTGGAATGGCAAGTAAGGAGAGAACAGGAGATCAGGAAGGTAGTGGGAGATCAGGTTGTTTCTGGCCTGTTAGATGGCTACTAAGATTTTGGCTTTTATTCAGAGCCAGAGTGGAAGTCTGGAGTGTTTTAGTGACATAATTTGACCAGCTATAAAGGGATCACTGACTGGTCTGTTGAGAATAGACTTATGGGGGAGGAAGCAAAACCAGAATCAGAGAGATGATTTAGGAGCTTATTATTACTAACCTAGTGCAGGATGATGGTGCCTTATACCATGCTGGCATGAAGGGAGGCAGTAAGAAGTAGGCAGATTTTGGATGTATTTTGCTCGTGTAACTGTAGAACTTGAATTTTGTATATAAGGCATGAAAGAGCTAGCAGAGGCAAGTTTGATTCTAAGGTTTTGTCCTAAGCTACTGGATTGATGATATGCCATTTACTGAGATGGGGACAGCTATAGGAGAAACAGGTTTGGGAGGATGTGGATCAGGAGCTCAGTTTTGTTCATGTTCAAACACACACACACACACACATATATAATACATATATATATGTAAGGTTACCAAGGGAGTGATTGCAGGTGAAGTCCTAAGCCCTCCCACTTCAGAGGATGATGGAATGCGGAATACCAGCAGTCATGCTTGTGGCTAAACTCTTTGTGGAATGCTTCTGCTTACCTCTCTTATTTAATTTTCAGCTCCTTCTCCAAGCTCCAGCCACAGTGACTTTCTAAACTCATTTCTACCTTAAGACCTTGGCACTTGGTCTTCCTTCTACTTGGGAACCACCTTTCCTAGATATTTATGTGACTGCTTACATTTTGTCATTTGTTATGAGGTCTCAACTCAAAAGTGAGCTTTAGAGAGAGACCTTCCTTGATGACCTTATCAAACGCACCAAAGTTTTTATACAAGAATACTCACCCCCAAAATGTGGCACCTTGTCTACTTAGGGACACTGATTTCTTTTTTTAAACTCTACTGATTCTTTGTGTTTTAATTTCTGATTATTTATTGTTATTCTTTTTAATTTTATTTTAAGTTTATTTATTTATTTTGAAAGAGAAAATGAGCAAGCTGGGGAGGGGCAGAGAGAGAGGAGAGAGAGAATCATCCCAAGCAGCTTCCGTACTGTCAGTGTAGAACCTGATGCAGGGCTCAAACTCATGAACCACGAGATGATGAGCTGAGCTGAAATCAAGGGTTCAGATGCTTAACTGACTGAGGCAGCCAGATGCCCCCTAATTTCTGATTTTTTTAAAAATTTTTTTTCCTAATTTCTGATTATTAATAAAAAGTTGAAGAAATTCTTATAGTATACACATTGTAACTGTATAGCTTAATGAATTTTCACAAACTGCACTCAATAATATAAATATCTTAGAAGAATAAACAATATTCTAGAAGCCTCTCTTGTCCCTTTTTAGTCACTAACTCCTTTCCCCATAGTTATCAGATAATCAGTATTTTGATTTAATAGAATTTTAGCTGGTTTTATGTATTGTTTTGTATCTGGCTTCTGCTCAAGAGTATATTTGAGTATGTAGTTAAAGTTCATTCATTTGCATTAATTTCTTGTTTACATAGCTTGAGATTAAATGAGATGGCACCTAAAGAGTTGTGACTATCTTCAATCCCTTAGATTCATTTTGTTTGAAATGAGTTAAAGTCATGTGGTGTGAGTCCTCCAATTTTGTTTTTCTTCATTACTGATTTAAATATTCTAGGTCTTGTGCCTTTCCATATTATAGCTCCTTTGCTTTTTCTCATGTAAATTTTGGAATCAGCTTGTCTATTTTTACAAAAAAATCCTAGGATTTTCATTGGATTATATTATAGTCTGTAGCTCTATTGGGGAGAATCAACATCTCAACAATATTGAGTCCTACTGCTAATGAACGTGACATGTCTTTCCATTTGTATGGATTTCTTTCATAAATAGTTTATAATTTTCAGAACTTGTATGTATTTTGTGAGATTTATGTTCAATATTTTATGGGGCTTTTTTGGTACTTTTATAAATGGTACTAATGTTTTAAATTTCATTTTGCATTTGTTCATTGTTACATATTATATCAAAACATAGTTGAAGTTCAACTTGATATATTGACCTTCTTTCTAAGGCCTTGTTAAATTAAAGTTACTTGTTAGTTTCATTAATTTTTAAAAAATTTTCTTTTGAGATATTCCATATAGTGATTCAGGTCAATTATAAATAGATGGTTTTATATCGGTGTGCCTTTTATATCTGTTTCTTTGTGTGCTATCTAGGACTTTCAGTATGATGTTGACTAGAAGTGATGAGAACAGACATTTGTGCCTTCTTTTTCATAATAGGAACAAAATGGTAGTTGCAGTATTTTACCATTTAGCTTGATATTAGCTGTATGTATTTTTATAGATGCCCTTTACAGGTTGAAGAAGTCCTTTTCTATCCCTAATTAGTTGACCTTTTTATAAAATCATAAATGAATGTTAGATTTTGTCAATTTTTCTGTATCTGAAAATCACATTATTTTCCTTTAGTTTGTTGATATAATGAATTATCAATTGTAATGAATTATTGATTTTTGTATTGATTGGTTTTCAGAAGTCTCAATTGACAAGTGTTAATTTTTTTTTACTACTGCTTATTAAATCCCATATCTGCCTGCCTGTGTGTCTGTTTGTCTGCCTGCCTATCTGTCTATCTACCTATCTGACATATCTTTTCTCCATAGCTCTTATCACCATCAGCATGCTGTATGGTCTAGTTACTTATTTGTGTATTCTGCCCAGTGGAATAGAAGTTCCAAATTTTGTTCTCTGTTGTATCTCCAGCCTCTGAATGTTGTCTGGAATTAAAGTAGGATTCTGTAAATATTTGTTGAATGAGAGAATATCTCCTCTCAAGGAGTTCATAGCCTAGGAGGGGGAGGAAGTACAAAAATGAAGTGCGAACTATGAGCAAAATTCTTGGGAGCTCAAGATGGGGGAGATCAAGTTAATGTAACAGATTTCCTTTCCTTTTTTCTATCAGATTTGAAAGAAGACACATCTAGGCAAAATACATTCAATGACGCAGAAAATAAGAAGAATTCAATAAAAATGTGGTTTAGTCCTCGAAGTAAGAAGGTCAGATATGTTGTAAGTAAAGTTACAGTGCAAACCCAGCCTCAGTTGACAGACGAGGAGAGCACTCGTCAGGCCTCAATGTATGACTTTATCTCTAAAAGCCCCCCAACAGGTGGTCCTGAGAGGGCTAAAAAGGCTTCCACAAGATCTGGAAAAAAACAAAAAAAGAAAACTTTAGCTGAAATCAACCAAGAATGGAATTTCGAGGCAGAAAAAGATGGTGAACCTTCCTCCAAAAAGGAACTTAAGGAGAAGCTTGTGTCTTTCTATAGCCAGCCGTCTGTCCCTGCTACTCCTCAGACAAATGGTGACATAGACTTACTAGCAAGCGACTCTGTAACGGAATCAGATTGTTCTAGAAGCTTAACTGAAGTCTCATTACCATTGGCTGAGCAGATAGAGTCTCCAGAAATGGAGAGCAGGAATGAAGACATGACTCCGGAGAAGAATCTCTGTGCGAATCATCTTACATCTAAGCAGCCCTTGCCATCAGGTCATAGTGGGCGGCGTGGACATCACAGCAGACGGTCCAGTCCCATTTCTAAGAGATGCAGCAGCAGCATTCATGGTACCAGTAGGCAGCAAATGGCGCTTTCAGAAAACAAACCATTGCCTGGCTGCTCTTCACCACCTCCAAGCAAGCGTAGAGTTGGTGACACATTAAGGAGGAAAAACAGTAATATATCAGATGAATTCATGAGACTTTCACCGGGTACACCACCTCCTGCACTGAATAGTCCAAGTTACAGACGGATGATGTCCAGCCCCTCAGCAATGAAGCTATCTCCTGGTAGCCTTACGGCTGTGAAAAGAAATCACAGAGGAGAGACTTTGCTTCATATTGCTTCAATTAAGGTAGGACGCTTGCTGTGAAATACAATTTTGGAATGAGACCAACTATAAAAAACAATTTCTGTGGTGCCTGTGAACAGTGACATGAGATTACTAGGATATTTAACCTACTCATGTGATACCTCCTTTGAACCAGAGAAGTAGAATTCATAGGGATTGTGTCCTCACCTCAGAGCAGTGGTCCTTGGGCCTGAGGACCATAATCTTAAAAGAGAAAATAATATTTCAATATTTCAGCTTCTGCTTTGCCAGTGGCTTTGAATTGTCTATTCCATAATGATTTTGTTCAGTTTTTACCAGTTTCTCATGCTTTACGAATATAGAGAATGGCCAAGTTACTGCTGGCAACACATCATTACCCAGCCAAAGAGCTAGGGACAGTGTGGGAGGTGACAGACTTCTGTATGTAGACACTTGTAGTGGGCACTGCCAGAATTTGCAAGGTTGAAAGATGTGGTCTGTACATTTTTCCGATGACCTGGAAATTTGATCATCAGAAATGGCTCCCGCAGTTGACCCTGAAGGAGTGTCTCTGTATGCCACAGCCAGCCATTTCTTTTAATAGTGTGTTCATTAAAATTGCCTCTCTTTATTTACTGCCTCAACACTGGGGGGTGTAGGAGTGTTCGTTTTCTGGAAACTAGCCCATTTGTCAAGTGTGAGGTATATTTGGAAAGGTTAATCCTTGGAACTGACTCAAGAATTGCACATATAGGGGAGCAGTTAGCACCACAGTTTTATAGGCTTTGTGATTTCACATGAGTGTTATCCAGATCAAATACAGGCAAGCTTAGTACCAAGCTAGGATAGCTTTTATGATCTTTTAGTAAATTCACCAGGAGATCGTTGGGTCTTTTGCATGGATAGAGAACCCTGGAAGGTCTTGAAGGAACCCATTGGAGGCCCCCATACATAAGGCTGGTGAGGAATGTGAAACATCCGAGAAGAATATGGAATAGGCATGGAGTCCAGACATTCCCGTATATTCTCCTAATATGGAGAAAGGGCAGAGCACAAAAATGAGCCTCCCCAAATGTTAGGGTTTAATTTTTTTTTTCCTTGCTTTATCTTTCAATAAATGATGAATGTGGAGTACTCTATATCTGATACCAGTGAGGAGGCAAACCGCAGCATGACTACACGCTAGTTTCTGCATGCATATCTTCTGAACAACTTAAATTTTCAGTTGGTCCCTGTTAATACTTTATTTTTTTGCAAAGCATTGATTTAAAATAGCAGGCTGTATTTTTGTCGTATTTGTTACGTATATAGTAGATATGCACATAAGCTATTATAAACTTAACTTTATAATGCTATACATGCTTTATAGGCATAAGTAGCTAGCATAATAATGATGTTTTTCATTTTTTCTGACTAATACATAAGAATGTAGACTGCTTTAGCTCCTACATTTTGCTTTCTGGGAATTATTTTCAGACCACCAGGCAGGGCTCCATTTATTGGTAGAGAATTCTTCTTTTAACCATAATAATAATTTATCTTTACTAATGAAGATCTCTAAGACCTAGGCCATGGTTTGACAAACTCTTAAAGGGGAAGAGTAAATATTTTCAGCTTCCCAGGCCGTATAGTCTCTACAAGTATTCATGGCTGCCCATAGTTCAAAAGCAGCTATAGACAATATATAAACCCAATAAAACCTGGCCTACAAAATCATGCATCTGGCCTACAGGCCATAGTTTGCATACCCTTGGCCTCAGCAATGAAAAAACATAGAATCTTAAGACAGGAAAAGAGACGATGTTGTCTTGTGAATTTTCTCCTCTGAAGATTGCTTCATAGACGTTTTGTTGTATTATTAGTTTACCTAGGAAGGGTCTCTTGCCAGCCTTAAAATTACCCATTTGATTCTTTTGCACTTATCAAATACTGTTATTGTCCTTAGTTGGCAGATTCTGATATAGTACATTTAAGGCAAGCTAACTGATTTCTAGTTTCTTTTTTTAACATCACTGTTAAGAAGAGTACTCTCTTTTAAAAATATATTATAAGTTGAATGTAAACCCCCCAACCAGGTTGATTTTAGTAGAACAAATAATGTGTGAAAAAAACATATTTTTCATGTTGATTTATCAGTATTGTCTTTTTATAAGTAGTATTCATTTCATTTTCTGCTCTAATTTTCTCATTTGCAGCTGAAAGTGTGTACTAGAAAACCAAATATTGTGATTCTGCTATCTTAATTTATCTTTTGTGCCCACTTTACTTTAGAAAAAGATTTGAAGTGGTTCTGAAGTTAAAATATTAAAAACAGAACACGGAAATAGAAGTTACTGCTGCTGAACAGGATGTAGATTTGATGACCTTTCAAGCAGCCGAGACTGGCCTTCTTTAAATGAAATCCACAGTCCTTCCCATGGCCTACATGGCCCTGTGTGATCCTCCTCCTCCAGGCTTCTGCTCAAATGACGCCTCTTCAGAGACACTTCCTAGCTGACCTCACCTAGTAGTCCTGCTTGTTTTGTTTTCCTTCCAGTTATCTCCTGACTTTTTTTAAAAAAGATTTATTTTATTTTTTGAGTGCAAGTAGGGGAGAGGGGCAGAGGGAGAGAGACAGAGAATCCCAAAGAGGCTCCATGCTGTGTGGGGCTCAATTCCTTGACCCGGGATTGTGACTTGAGCCGAAGTCAAGAATGGCACACTTCACTGACTGAGCCACCCAGGTCCCCCAATTTCCTGACATCATCATCATCATTATTATTATTATATAGATCTCTTAGTTTCGTGCTTCTCTCCATAGAATGAGAGCAAGAATTCTGTTTGTTCATTGTTAGATCTTCAGGATCTAGAACATTGCCTGGAGCATAAGAGATGAATTTGATGAATATATGAGCAAATTTTCCACTCAATCATGATCTGAACCCCATTCTCCTGTCACACTGAACTTTATTTAGTCTTATGAATTATTCAGGTACATTCATTAATTCTACCAGTGCTTTGCACATGTTCTTTTCTTTGATTTATATTCTTTCGTCTACATGCTTCCCTTTTCCTTCCCTGCTGTTTGTATGTAACCTTAAAAATCCAGTTTACACCCTACCATCTTAATAATTAAGAAGTCTTCCTCAGAATTCCTAGAGTTAGTTTCTCCTCTATGGTGACATTTTGTTTGCATTTATATTCATTTAGCTTTCTCTTTATTATATGACTTCATTAGATATTGTGGTTATCCAGAGTACATTCTTCATTTAAAGTTTAATTTCAGGGATACCTGGGTGGTTCGGTCGGTTAAGTGTCCGATTTGGCTCAGGTCATGATCTCCTGGATTGTGAATGTGACAGCTCAGAGCCTTGAGTGTGCTGACAGCTCAGAGCCTGGAACCCGCTTCAGATTCTGTGTCTCCCTCTCTCTCTGTCTGCCCCACCGCAGCTCGTTCTTCTCTCTCTCTCTCGAAAATAAATAAACATTACAAAAATTTTTTTGATTTAATTTCAAAATAAGCATAACTGCAGTTTTCAAAAATAAGAATAAAAGTATTTATAGTAGGAAACCTCACTCCTAAACCCCACTCCTATTTCTGCCCCTACCCGCGCTATTACTGACAAGCCTTTTTGCTTAACTATCTTACTTACTTGTGTGTCCTTTGTGAATTTCTTTATGTACGTATAAGCAAACCCCTTCCATACTGGCACATAGCTTTCTGTATATTCTTATAGTAGCATTGCCTTCTGTATATTTTTATTGTTTGACTAGTCCTTACTGATGGATGCCTGTTTCCATTCTTTTGCTTTTATGAACAGTCCTGTGGCAAGCAGTCTTGGTTTCATATGTGAGCAGGTGTGTCTTTAGGATAAATTCCTAGATGTCAACTTCTGGGTTAATGTAGAACATCTCTTACCTTATTTATCTTGATAACCTCCATATCTGGCAACAGAAGGGTCTTAGTAAATATCCAGACTTCCTAAATTCAGGCTGCTGGATGTGGACCGCTACTATATCACTGGCAGATACTGTTTGTGTTATCAGTTCTCAAATCCTTTTTTCCCTCAGGATCCTGGATTTATAGGTGAGCCATTCTACTTTTTAGACATTCAGCCCCATATGAATGCAAACCCTACAAACCCTACAGGATTCTTCTTGAATTCCTTATTTATACTTTCATTTTATTACCCTGGAATTTCAAGCAGAATATTCATTAATATGATGTCTGAGATATTGTGCATATTCTCACGTAAACAGAACAAATTTGAGATCCAGTTGGGTCTTTTTTATCGCCTGTGTTTCTAGTTGAATGTGGAGGTCACCTATGTTTAAAATGCTACTGAAAACATTATGTTATATAAATGAGAGATTTTCTGAGAAAGTGTTACAATGCCTAGGTAGAAACTAAGATAAACACTCATTTATTCTTCTGATTTGATTTTTGAAAACGTAGTGTTTGATATTTTCTAGACATAAAGAAAATTTTGATTTGTTACTTTATTATGTCACCTCTGCTTGAGGATTTGTAGTTGCTGGAATAAACCTCAAATTTCTAGCACAGATTCTTAAAATGGTAATGATTACTCATAAATCATGCCACAGCATTGAATGTATCATGATATAGAAGGCTTGAAGTTGGCATGTCATGATATATTTTTGATGCAGACATAAAGAATCATATTTTTCAGACAACTTTTAAGGCTTGATACACTTAACATAGCAAAGATGATGAGGATCTCCTGGGTGGAAAGAACACCCCTTGTGAGGAGTCTCCTTTAGGGTCTAACTTTGTCATTCATTGTATTTTAAGGCCGTCACATTGTGTGAAACTCTGGTTACTGCACGTCCTTTATTACCAGCTTCCTGAGAAAGTTGTAAAGGACTCCAAAGCAAACTGGTATCTATGATATTTTCCAGATTGTAATTTCTAGGACATCTCTTAGAGTCAATATTCATTTTTCCCTCTGTCATCTACCACCTTTATAATACTGAACCCCTTAATATCAGCAGCTTAACATTACACAGACTAGATTGTCAGAAGCATCTGTGAAGTTATTCAGTAAACTTTTGAGAAGCCAGGGAAGTGTTTAATATATTTTAGAGCTTCATTCTGGGTGACAAAAAAAAAAAAAAAGAAAAAATTGTCAATATCTAGTTGCCAAAGGAATAGGTAGCTGATTAGTTCATTTATGTGGAAAAGCTTAACCATTTGGGGTAAGTTGTCATCATTGTAATGCCCTGTACCTTTTTTTTATCAAGATATTTATTCTTAATTGTATTTTAGAAGAGCTAACCTTTACAATAAAGAAAAAAATGGGTGTGTGTGTTTGGAAAGTTAATTTATGTCTTTTTTTAATTAAGACTGTCTAATTAATGGCTGTCATATGTACAGATGTGTGAAGAATCTGTTTTTGAATGAAAGGTTAGCAATAAGAAAATTCATTGTGGCACACACATTCCCTTTGTTTTCAGCCTTTAAGGTATTACTTGAAAATACCAAATCCATTTAAAATTTCTTGCAAGCCTTGGTAAATACTTTCCTTGGTTGATTTTTTTTTTTCTTGCTGTGGTTTAAGAAAATCTCAGTTACTCTTTTAAGTTGTAGAGAGTCTAAAAGTGAGTGCTTATTACTCAGAAAATATTGTTAGTGAAGAAAGTAATTTAAAGAAATCAGAAGCAGAAGTTAATTTATTTCCCAGAAACTCCATGTTGGTTCAAGCTTACCCCGTTACTGTGGGCTCTCTCTGATTTTCATAATTTTATTTATGTGCATGACATTAAACTTACATAAAGTAGATCAATGAAAATGTGACAGACTTTTAAATATTAGGGAAGAGAAAGCAGATTGAGTTTGAAGAACAAGTAGTTTGCAGATGGGCTATATGTTCCCGGGAAGTCTAGGGGTGTTTTGTAACAGAAGACACTTTGATAGTTTAACAAGGTTACAAGAAAGAAAAAGACCACTGTCTAGCAGTCTTCCAAGAGAATCTGCTTTTAGTTCTTAAATTGTCAATGTTTCTATGTGACTGTTCTCATGTGACTTTTCAATCCACAGTTGTGTGTTTATTATTTTATGGGCTTCGTTAGGTTAATATGTCTTTGTGATTACTATACAGAATTAAAATAGGGAAATCTTTCAGAAGGCTTTTTGTGTATTTTTTTGTGTGGATACTTTCATGATGAAGGTTGGAAATGTGTGTGGTTCTGGCAGTTCATCTGCCCCCATAATCATGGGATTGTTTTAAAAAATTCAAATTTGTATCTTGACAGATGTTCCTAGTTTCATTGGGAACGGGACTTAAATATAGAGCAAAGGTTGCTAAATAAATAGTAACTTGTACTAGTGGTATAGAATTTGCACCCCTAAGAAACTGGGAAAATGTTTTTATTGAAACTGGAACAATTTATTTGAAATGTATATAGTGTTTATTTTTTAGATCCATTAAATAGTAGGGTCATTTTGTTAATTATGTTGCAAGTTGATTTTTTTAAAGTTTATATTTTGAGAGAGAGCATGCATGGGGGAGGAGCAGAGAGAGAGAGGGTAAGAAAGAATCCCAAGCAGGTTCTGTGCTGTCAGTGTGGAACCCAACATGGGATCCCTCAACCTTGGGATCATGACCTGAGCCTGGATCAAGAGTCAGACACTTAACTGACTGAGCCACCCAGGTGCCCAAGCAAATGAATTAAAAAAATTTTTTTTTTTTTTTTTTGAAAACTAAGTAAGCTACCATCTTAAGATTTGTTGTGCTTGAGAGGCAGCCCAAAACAATCAAATAAAAGCAAATGTTACTGTTCTTAGGAGACTTAGTGACTTCTGCATAATGAAACCTGTAGGGGAAAAACTCGTTTTAAAGGAATATTGAGTCTGAGAGTGGGAGAGGAGAGATTTTCTTTTCCCTAAAGAAACTCTTCAAAAAAACAGTTAGTTGAACACCTCTTTGTCATAGATAACTTTTGCCATATGTAACTTAAAAAAAAATTTTTTTTAAGTTTATTTATTTCAAGAGAGAGAGAACACGAACAGAAGAGGGAGGGACAAAGAGGGGGAGAGAGAGAATCCCATGCAGGCTCCCCACTGTCAGTGCAGAGCCTGATGCGAGGCTTGAACTCAAGATCATGACCTGAGCTGAAACCAAGAGTTGGACACATAACTCACTGAGCCAACCAGGTGTTCCATTGCCATATGTAACTTTTATTTATTCACCCTTTTTTAGAGTAAGCTCTGTCGATGATACTTGGAGAAAATAAGCCTTGCTTTTGCCTAGAAAAATAATCTTTTAGCAAATAAGGTGACTATAAATTAGTGTATTAAGGATAAATGGAGTAACTGTCAATAAAACAAAACAAAACAAAATAATTTTTGGTAGTTTTAACTGAGTGGCCTTCTTGGCCTTGATTTTGTTTTAAACAGTACTTGGAGATCTTTTCATGCATGCTGAAAAGGGATGTTTTTCATAAATGAGTGATGAGTTTAAATATTTAATTTTCATTTGTTAATTTTTGGTTAATGCCCTCTCTTTGATATTTTGAAATGACTTTTGATAAGGGTTGCTAATCACAGAGATTTTGAACTTGATATTCAAGGATGGACCATATGACTTCATGATTTCTTGGTATCTTAGAACAGTTCATCTATACATGACTTATTATTTATTACTGATGAGCAGTAGGTATTAGAGAAAAAAATTAAGTTTGATTCTATCTTTAAGAAGACAAAATTTAAAAAGTAAAACAAAACCCAAATCTCAATATCTTCTTTTTTCTTGATTATTTTTAATTTCTTTTTATTTTTTCATTATTCTACTAGGGCGACCTACCTTCTGTGGAATACCTCTTACAAAATGGAAGTGACCCAAATGTTAAAGACCATGCTGGATGGACACCATTGGTAGTTTTCTATTTGTTTTTTTGTTCTCATTTTGTTTATGTCTTACAGTTATTATACTTTATGTAGTTGTCTATATACTCTGTTTTTAATCTGAAGAACATACATTTTCACTAAGTAAGAGACAATGATTATTTTTCATGTAGCTTTTCAACTGTGACAGGCAAGAAATTGGCTACCTTTTCACTACTACCTTTAGATTTAGGAATCTAGTTACACCATATTGCTGAATGTAGCTAACATATGGAGGTAACTCTTGGAGCCAACATCAGGCCTCATTTTGTCACATTGCAGATTATTGGAACTGGATTTCTTAGAACAAAGAGGTCAAAGGAACTGGGTATAGGATTATATCACAAGGCAGTGATTCTTACTGAAGATATATTGTAGCCTCATTTATACCTTTCCCAGTGGCAAATATATAGAAACAGTAGAAATCTTTGCTTACATTAAACATTTTTAAAAATCTTTGCTTATTATTACAAAACTGCAATGTGGAGTATAGTCTGGAAAAAGAATAGCACCAATACAGGAAATAAGTGCTATGTGAGCTAATTACATGCAATTTGAAGATAGCTATAGAAGAGTCAACAGAGGAGGTAGAAGCCCTTGTCCTGTAAGATGGAAATTTATGTCAGAAATTGAGAGATTCTTATTAGGCCAGGTGTAAAAAAGGTTTAAAGTTGTAGAGAATTACTTCTTGCCAAATTTTTAAGCTGGGAGGGTTTAGACTGGATCAGAGTCGCTTTGTTGTTTTTGACTCCACAGGCTAGTTAACCTTTTCAAAGAAAGGTCCTTTTTTTTTTTTTTTTTTTAAAAAAGCCAGTAAGGCAAATTGTAGTAAAGGTTGGTGAGTGATTTATTAGAGCACCTGATGTCTAATTTGGATTATTTTCTCCTAGAAATAGACCTACAGATATTTAGTAGGGTATTGCCCATTATGAATTGAATAGATGTACTTAAAAAGCACAGTATGTCCATGATTTATTAGAATATAATGTAGTGCCATTGTTAACAGTTCATTAGACATAAGGAAAGATTTGCACATGTGGCATCTTTGAATGCTTCATTGTTCCCTGTTACATTGGTAAGCTCTTTTTACTCCATGTTATTTCTGTTATCGATACCAGCCATACAGTAATCTGTAGCTTCAGCAAATAGAGAGACTTGTCATGTAAATACTCTCTCCAGGATACTCACTTTGTGGGGTGGTTATGTATACATGTGGGTGCACCACTTAGGGTATGGCTAAGTACCTGAGTTAGTAGATTCTATTCAGCCTTGGAAAATTTCACTTTTTATGCATGATCTACTTGATAAATACTTTCTAAGCTTTTTGTTTTTAATTTTTTACTACAGAATAATTGAGCTAGAGTTGGTTTATAGTTACATTTTCTTCTTAAAAAAAAAACAGTTGACTGAAGGCTCAAATAAATAACATCTTTTTCAATGAATTGCATAGATCTTGACCATCATGTATGTTATCACTAAGATTACTAAATAAGGCTTTTACTCCGGGCCAGCACTTACAGTCTGTATGAATATTTAGGTTAGAACCAATTTACTGACTGAAATTCATATTTATTTCTCTAAAGTGCAATTTTATTATGATATGATGCATTATTCTTCCTCATCACTTTTCTCACTTCTTATTTAATTAGCATGAAGCCTGCAACCATGGGCACCTGAAGGTGGTGGAATTGTTGCTGCAGCACAAGGCATTGGTGAACTCCACTGGGTATCAGAACGACTCACCACTTCACGATGCCGCCAAGAATGGGCACATGGATATAGTCAAGCTCTTACTTTCTTATGGAGCCTCCAGGAACGCCGTGTAAGTTGTTCACCTTAAAACCTGGCTTTTAGAGAAAAAAAAAACCAAAAAACAGAAAAAAAAAACCCTGGCTTTTAGTTGGCTTATGTTCTTTTGAGTTAAGGCTGTGAGGAAGCAAGGACTTCAATACCCAAGCTGATGGCCGTCTTTCTTGTCTTTCACAACTGAGGGTAGACGTGACTGTTATATTCTGTATTTAAAGTCAGCACTCATGCCCTTTTTCTTTGTGATACTTACATAGTTGAGGGAGATTTGCTCCTTTAATGAGAAACAATTGCCAGATTCATTTTGGAAGCTTTTATTTTTCTGGACAAAATCACTTAGTTATTATATTCTATAGATTGAGTCATACTTATTGATAAGAAAAGAATTAGAAGCATAGAAATAACTATTTTGTATGCTTCCTAGTACTTCAGAATTTGTTTTAAACATTTGATTTTTTATGATTTTCCTGCATATTTAGTTAAAATATGTAAGAACTCTGATGTTGGGCAAGTGCTATTGAGTTATTTCTTAGATTTTTCACATCATTCAAATGAAGCTCTGGGTAAATTGTTTTGCAATGTCAGGACACAGAGATGCATTAGTGAATGCTGGCGGCTGCATTTTAAAATTGCTATTGTCAACAGTGTCACAAGCAGTTGCCATATGTGGATTTTATACCTTTAATCTATAACTTGGTTCATGTCTCCCTGTATATTATTTTACACTTTTCAGTTAATGAGGTAGTTGAAATGGAAATAGAAGAATTGCCTCTTCATGTCCCCATTGCTTCAAAAGGTTTAGAAGAAGCGCATGAAAGTTAGCCTTACTCTGGTTACAGAGGCCAATAAGAATTACAAAATGCAGAACTTCTAGGTTGTAATTTTTATAGCATAATTGAAAAACAAATTAATAATGCAGGAATGTACCATATCTTACTGTTAGTTTTGGTAAATGTGTCTAATATTCTTTTTTTTCTGTCACATGTGATGAGATAGTTGGGGCAAGCTCAAGGGATACATATTTTTGTGTATTTTTATTTTTCTGGTTTGTGTGTGTGTGCTCATGTGTGTGCGCACACACACATTACATACATACATACATATATATATATATATATATATATACACATACATACACACACACACGTGGACCTAACAGATATGACCCTCCTGTGGGTATAGGCAGCCATTTGATACAGCAAATGGTTACTTGGGTCAGGTGAAACTGAATAGTTTCCATCCGTGGGTTCTTAAATCAGCCGTGACTACTTTAATGAATGGAGCACTGGCCAGGGCGTTAGGGAATTCAGCTTTTATTTGTGACTCCATTATTGACTTTATAGCCTCAGGCAGGTTAATTTTTGTGCCTTGGTGTCCTCACCTATAAAACATGGGTGATGCCTGCTGCTTTTCTATTTCTTCAGAGCATAGTGAGAATTAATGAGTCAAAACACAGGGCCTGTCTTGTGGTTTGTACACCATGATTCTTCACTACACTGTGAAGCTTATTAATATACAAGGTGTGGGCATGAGACAGTGAGCTGAGTCTGCCTTCACAGGTGCCTCTCAGATAAATATGTTGTTTTTAAATAGGCTTACGTAGTGAAGTGGCAGATTTAGGTATATCTGTAGCCCAGCACCATCCAATAGATCTTTCTGTATTGATGGAAGCGCTCTATATCTGTGCTGAGCATTCAGTAGCCACTAGCCATCTGCTGCTGTTGAAGACTTGAAATGTGGCTGTTGCTACTGAGGCTCTAAATTTGTAAATATATTTTATTTGAATTAAATAGCCACATGTGCCAAGTGGCCACTGAATTAGACAGCTGGTTGATATAGTTAGGATAGTGTGGAAGGAGGATTTACTTGGTGAAAGGTTGGGAATAACATTGAGTAGAGGATGGTTAGGCAACTATGGAGTGAATGCAGCGGTAGATTGAATCTAGGGTATAAGAGTGTGATAGCTGTTTCTAAATATTGTTACTCCTTCCATTCCAGACTGATGGTCATCATACTTAAGTATTTGCTGTGTTTTTCACTTTTTGTTTTATTTCATAGTAGTGGTTGTTCACCTAATTGGCTTCACCCGTTTCCTAACTGGTCTCCTCCTTTTCAGATGACTTTTCTTTTGTTCATTCCCCATTATTGCACCCCACGAACTTAAAAAAAAAATACAAGTCTGGCCAAATCACTTATTTACTTAAAACCCTTCATTGGCACCTCTTAATGTTTTTAAAAACTTCAAGACATGGCTCAGGAGCCTGGATGGTGTAGCACCACTTAACCTCTCCAGCCTTATCTTTTCCCCTTTCCCTTTGGCATTTTTTTTTTTTTTTTAATTTATTTCTAGGAGAGAGAGAGACAGCGTGAGCAGGGGAGGGTCAGAGAGAGAGGGAGTCACAGACTGAAACAGGCTCCAGGCTCTGAGCTGGCAGTCAGCACAGAGCCCGACGCGGGGCTCGAACCCACGAACCGTGAGATCATGACCTAAGCGAAAGTCGGACGCTTAACCGACTAAGCCACCCAGGCGCCCCCCCTTTGGCATTTTTTATGCCAGCCTTTCTAATTCATGCCTGCTCTCCTGGGCCTGCTGACATGCCGAACATAGTCTGTACCCAGATTCATTCGTGGTGGAAATTATAAGTATTTGAATGAATGAAAAGATGGTATATTTTTTCCTCTCTTTTGAAAAAGGGTCCTATGAGATGACAATAGAAATTGCTTTCCCCTGCTCCCAGATTCACTGTAAGTGTGGCCTGAAAGTCTAAAACCAAGTTTCCATAATCTGCCTCTTTGCTAGGGTGGTAGAACTGATTTCCTGGTAGATGTTAGAGTGAATGATGTTCTGGGTAGAATTCTTACTCTTTTGTCTTCTGGGCGTCTGTCATCCATACTGTATTACCTTTTGTGGGTTCATGGCTTTCCAAAGTAATTCCTGTTAGTCTTCACATTTTTAAGATCTGTTTTTCTTTCTACCAGTGTTCTATATATTGTCTTTTTTTGAATTAAGTGCTGACAAGTGACAATAGATGAAATTCATTCCTTGACTTCCTCCATTTAAGAGGAACATGGAGGTAGGGCATGGGGACTGTATGGGGTTCTTACTATTTTTTTTTTTTTTGGTCTGAAGATCTTGTTTGGTAAGTTGGCACCTTAATGCCTTCTTATAAGCCATTAATATCTCAGACTCTGGAATCTGAGCTGGCAAGCATAATACTTTTTGTTATTGTTTTGTTTTTTAATTTAAATTTTAGTTAACCTACTATGCAGTATTGGTTTCAGGAGTAGAATTCGGTGATTCATCAGTCACAAGCATATTGCTTTTACTTTCTCTGGTTATAAATTATATCTCTTTTATTTATTTATTTTTTGAAGAATAGTTGACACACAATTACTTTAGTTTCAGGTGTACAACATACAGTTTGCATATTATACTGCACTCACCACAAGTATAGCTGGCCTCTGTCACCTTCCGGTGTAGCTGCAGTACCACTGACTGTATTCCCTGTGCTGTGTGCCTTGTGAGCCTGGGACTTACTCATTCCATACTCGGCAGCCTATATGTCCCACTCCCCCACCATCAGTTTGTTTATATCTTTTTTACCCAAAATGGAACTCTTCTCTCAACAGTCAGGACTAGACTCATTCTGTCCCTGGAAGAAGGAAGAAGGGTTGGAACTGGAAAGGGCAAAGGCAGTTGTTTTGTCCTTCCCTTTATATGGCTTAGTACTTTGACTGATCAAATTGTAGGTGGGTAGGGTCTTTCTGCTTAGTCTGTGTTTCTAAATGGCAACCTTTAGCTCCGTAACATTTTGGCAGTTTTCTTCATTCCCTCAAGGTTCAAGTAGTCTTTTTTACTTAGATGCCTTCATTTCTGGGGTCTTCAGTGATACCCTGTTAGGTTTTCTCATACTCTCGCACTACTCCTTTACTTCCTCACCCCCTGGTTGTTTATCTGCTCCTTTGTTCTAGAGGAGTGAACTCATTACAGAGCCGTGTGACACGTGTCTTCATGGGCCAGTGCACAAGATGGTATGAAAATCTAGACTAGGGAGTGTGAGACTAGAGTAAGTCATGAAAGGCTTTCTTGGGGAAAGAGCACTTCTACTGTATTTTGAAGAATAGGTCGATAGGCTTTTCAGAAATAGACGGTGGGTGGTTAAGGTATACTGTGGCCAAGACTGTTTGTCTATTCAGTTCTGGGAGCTTTGGTTAGTGATGATAAGATTGTAATAAAAGGGATGATGACCAGAGAGGCCAGAGAAGGTGGCAGAGGCAGAGAGAGGCATATCAGTTCAGATTTAACATTGGAAAGCTCCTTCTGCTCATGAGCCGGGACCTTAGTGAAGAAGAGTGTCCAGTAACCAGGGGAGGTGAGTCTGAGCTAACCTAGTAACAGTGAGTAGTGTTGCAGATGGAGGGGAAGGGAGGGAATTCACTCTCTTTATCAGCTTCTTCCTTCAGGTGAAGTCTGATACACTTAGTTAAGAAGTATCTTACTAGAGTTGTAATTGAAATTGGGTAAGTGTGGATTATAGTGGATTTAATAAATTTGATTTTTCACTCAGAAACGTAGTATGTTTTTCCATTTATTTAAGCCTTCTTTTACACATCTTAGTAAAGTTTTTCATCTGTTTTATATGTATCTACATTTATACATGCACTTAACTATTTATTGAGATTTTTCTAGGCATTTGATTCTTTTGTTGCTCTGGTTAACTGGATGTTCTGTTAAGAAATATAACCTGTCATTCCTGATATATAGGAAAGTTGTTGATTTTAGTACATTTCTCTTACATCTAGCCAACACCTAATTCTAAGGATCTGATTACTATTTACCAATTTTAACTTCTTATTAAATTTGCCAAAGTTTCTACAACAATATTATAAAATAATGGTGATAGTTGGCATACTTGTTTTATTCTCAGTTTTCAAAAATGTTGACTATAGGTTACATTCAGTATTGAAATCAATATTAAAAATAAAGATCTAGTTATTTTACTATTTTTTAAGAAG